GGGGAGGCTAGCATAGTTTCACATATTTAAACTGAAGCTGAAGACGTTGCTGCTAGGGCTATGCGAACCTTCAGTAGCTGATTCGATTTGGAGGAGATTCGGCCCAATTTGGTAGCCAAATCTCCGAATCGAATCGGGAGAACCATTAATCTCCCTAAATCAAATCGGAAGCCTCCAAATCAATTCGGAGATTCGGCTGTAGACTGTACAGGCAGGCACTAGGCAGTACCGGTGGAAGCAGCTGGGGGAGCAGCCAGACAAGCCCCACCTTGAGCCAGCAGGCCCAGGAGTAGCCACAGCTCATCCAGCTGCCCCCTGTGCTGGGAGAGGCAGGCAGTGCTGGCAGCCCCAGGAGAAGCTGTAGGGAGCTGGGGGGAATGATTAGGGGTTGGGGGAATGAGCAGGGGCTTCCCGGCAGCTCCCGGTTCCATTCCCCAGCCCCCGCAGCTTCTCCCGGGGTTGCCAGCACTGCCTGCCTCACCCCAGAGGGGGAGCAGCTGGATGAGCCACAGCTTCTCTCAGGGCTGCTGGCTCAAGCCGGGGCTCATCTGGCTGCTCCCCCAGCCACTCCTGCTGGCACTGCCTGCCTGTACAGTCTACGGCCAAATAAGATTTGACACTGAATATCTTCGGATTTGGCTGAATTGAATTGGAACAGTGATTTGAATCACCGTGTTCAAAGCAAATACTTTCCACTTGCACGGGCCTAGTTGCTGCCTTCTGAGCTGCTTGTGGGATTTTTCATCTTCTGGTGGGGTGCATAATTCATGCTGACTGTTGCTTTGCCCCAGTGTGATGAGTAGTCAGAGCAACTGGTGTCTGTTGCCCCATGTGTTCTATAGTTACCTGCACCAGTGCAACATATACTTACCCCAGTTCATTCAGGTTTTGGCAACTTTCACAGAAGTGCAGAGCAAGTTTAAATAACAACACACAAGGCAACACAGCAGAGCAGTTGTGATATTCAGAGGCAGGTTTTTTTTCGATGTGCATCTCTGGGTTCCTTTGGGCTTTCTTCCCTTCTGACTAGGGGGCAGATATGAATGTTTTTTGGCCAACTTGCACAGACAGGGCCAGGTGTAGTCCTGATAAGGCTTCAGGCTGCCTGAGCTCCTCTTTCACACTTATCAAACCCACAAAGCAATGTGCTGCAGTTAAGATTTCCCTCAAATTTACTTTCAGAGGTGAAACCCTAATGGTCTGTGCACTCATGAAACCTCCTGAATTACTCCAAACCCTTCCAGACGCATCTCCCAGTTCTGTCTGTGGAAGAGAAGTCACCAGAGTCCTAGGACCCTGCAGAATTATACTTACTGTTGCTACAAATATAAAATCTCCCTAGTCCCATGATTGTGGTGTCTGGTTTCACAATATACTGTTTGAATTAAATTCTGAATATCCCAAATAAGAGGAGTAGATCACTAGGATCCCTTGCCACCTGCACCTTTTAGAAGCAGAGAGTAACCAGTTAACTAAAGAAGTGCAGCATGACACTCCCAGTTCATTGCCAATCAGACTGGTGATTACTTATGGCTCAATATTTATTCCTACTATAGAAACAAAGCAGGAATAGAGAGTGTTGAGTATCCTGGTAATGACTGATGCAAACGTAATGGAAACTTGTGTTTTGTTTGATATGGGTAGGAGTCTGGATATGATGAGCAGTGGTTACATATGTTCTGGAGAGCAGAAGGTACATTTAAGCAGGGGAAGTTGACAGGAAAAGCAGCAAGGCAGGAAAAAAAAACAGTGGCCACAATGGAAAACCGTTAGCATTGAAAACTCAGGCTTGTTTACTTTTGTTCTGCTTATTCTACTCTGTGGTGACGCAGTCGTTTCCACAGCAGCCAACTGTAACCCCTCTTTACAGAGGGATTCCTTGTATGTTCCTCTCCTTTTTGCCATGAACAGGATTTTTAAAAGTAGATGAAGTTATAGTAGACAAGGAATCTACATTTTTGCTGATGTATTTTAGAGGTATGTGCAGCTCTGGGTTCCTAAGTTCAGAGCTCCCCATGAAGTGGTAGTACCCTAACCACACGTTTGTACCCTCAGTACGACACTGGGTCCATCTTCTGAAAACCAGTATTGTGAGGGTCCTGGATTTCAGCCCTGGATCTGGATAAAATAAGCCAGTTCATAGCTTCATAGAGGTTAGGGTCGGAAGAGACCTCAATAGATCATTGAGTCTGACCC